TCAAAGTTTTTTCTGAAACTGCTATAGTCTCCAAGATATAAATTCTACCAGGAGGCTTAAAAAGCAAGATCCAAGCAAGAGTAACATGACTTCACCAACCAATGGCCCCAGACAGGGAAAGACTCCAAAAAGACATGATGACACCTTACCCAAGAGAGTCACTATTGTGTAGCTTGCTTCTGGAGATGAGACTATTGGTTAAATGTATTTAAACCATTTTGATTTTTTCTGACATGTTGAACCATCAACACGCTTTGAGCATCGAGCAAATTCCTCCTTGGGCTGCATAGCTAATGCCCTTGTGTTGAAAAGCAATTGCTGCCAAAGAAATTGTCATTGAATGTCAGTTATAGCCTTTGCCAGGGTGTCTGGGCTCTCGGTCAGTGGGACAGACCTCTGAGGGCATCTAGCAAGGCAGCTAGATGGGTAGCACTCTGGTTGGTGGTTGAGACCCTCAAAGGGAAGTACTGGAAACAGGAGTTCAAGGAGAAGAGGCAGAAGTGGCACCTTTTTAAGATTAATATGCACAGGCAACTCAATAAGTGTCCTTCCCAACAACAAACAAGGGCATCAAAGGATACCTGATTGAAAGCTGGCTCCTCACCAGGCACCCGCCTTTAATCCCATCACCCTGGAGGCAGAGGCTGGTGGGTCTCTGAGTTCAAGGTCAGTCTAGTCTACTGAGTGAGCTCCAGGTCAGGGCAGCAAGCAAGAAAGGAAGCAAACAAACAAATAAATAAACAAACTACTTCTCAAACTGACTGATAGCTGGAGGAGTGACATCATCTCCCATTGTAATTCTGGATCAAGAGGAAAGTGCTGTGCCTGCCTGCCTCAGGTGGAATTCCCAAACACAGTCACCACAGAGCAGAATACACCACAGAGTGTATCTGATGCAAATACACTGGGATTTACTCAAGCTAGCTTGAGCCGCAATCCAACATATCACTGCAGCAGATGGGGGAAAGAGCTTCAGGGTGGGGGAGACTGCAAGCAGGGTGGCACAGGTCTTGTCATCTGGGGATTGGGTAAAAGCATAATGTAATGTTTGTTCTGTCTCTTTAAGAGACAAGCCATGCCCACTCCCTCCCTCCCCCATTCACTGAGGCAGGGTGATCTTCAGCTTCAGGCCTGAACTCACTCTCTTTTCAGTCTTCCTCTCAGAGAGGCAGCTTCACTTCTGCCTCTCTCCCCACTTCTCTGCTTCCCCCCTTCTCTGTCTCTTTCTCCTCTTCTCTCTCTCTCTCTGTGTCTCTCTCTCTGTGTCTCTCTCTCTGTGTCTCTCTCTGTCTCTTCTCCCCTTCTCCCTTCCCCCTCATAACCCCCTGAATAAATAGTCAACCTCACTCTGAATGTCATGTCTATCCATGTCTCTGTCTCCTGCCCGCCCGCCATGTGTCTCCCTGCCTGGGACCAGCCACTGCTTGGGGACCAGCAGCCGTCTCTGCCTTGGACTGGCTGCTCCCAGGGCCCGCTGTCTGCCACCACATAGCCCGCTACCACCATTTGGGACCTACAGCATTTCTGCTGCCTACTGCCGCCAGGGATCTTGCAGCATTTTTTAAAAATTCATAAAACATACCACTTTCAAAATCATTGGTTGGAGTATAGGGGGATTTCAAAACAATGACTGTCAGCAGATAAGACTTTCAAAACGGCACCTAATCAGATACCTACAAGGACGTCTGAAGCAAGCAGCTGTTGTTTGGACATCCGGGTGGGTCACTTTGACCAGGGCAGGCACAGTTTCCTGAAAATGTTTATGACTTTGTTGGACTGCATTCACCCCCTAGTTAGGTCCTGTCTAAAATGGTGTTCTTTCTCAAAATGGAGTTTGTTCTGCTCCTTCAGAAAGATTTCTGAAAAGGGAGGTAAAGTTTGAGTCAGAGTCTCAGTATTTATAAGCAGATTGATTTTCTTACCCTCCGCATGAAGGGGAATCAAAACTTCACTGGTAGAGATTTAGAAGTCAGAAGTTGCAGCAGCCAGCCTAGTCCTCTGGTGCCCTGTCCTGAAGGTGCTCATGACTTCGGGGTTTGGCCCCTCTATCTGCTTTCCCTTGCCCCTAGTCTTCCTCCAGATGGCAGCTGTGGAACACCAGTAAGGCAGCGTTTAAAAGCTGTGTCTGTAGGGGTTTGCTGCCTCAGAAGGGTTTGCCCGGATGGCAAGAGGGTCCACATTAGTAAATGTCCTGAGGGCCTCAAGCTAGCTTGTTGACAAGGGACAGGATTTTCACCTCTATGGTTTGTAGCACAGCTGATGGTTTTTTAATGCACCTACTATATAAGAAGGCTCTCTGTCACCACCGCCTGTCTGTGGGTTCCTGCTGAGGTATTATAACCCTGAACAGTGGTTTCTAGTCTAAATGAGTTTATACTCTGGACAGATAGCCAGTGGGATTCTTAGCAAACAATTCATTTTTTTGAATGTCTAGCATGTCTCCTAGCTTCTTTGAAGAGCCTGGGCTTCTCTTGAGAAATACAACCAAAATGGGCCCTTCTGTCTCTTGGCTGAGCTGCCGTTATCCATCTGATATTGGCTGGTGTTGCAGTCAAAACAGTCAAATACTGGCATTTTTGTTTTTTGTTTTTGTTTTTTTTTTTTTTAAGACAGAGTTTCTCTATGTAACATTGGCTGTCCTGGAAATTGCTCTGTAGAATTGGCCTTGAACTTAAAGACTCGCATGCCTCTGCCTTCAGAGTGCTGGGACTAGAGGTATGTGCCACCACATTCTGTCATTTATTTTTCCTAGGTTATCAGGGTCAAATTTATTCCAATCCTAGTTGGGAGTCTATCGGCGAATCAATCCCACACCAGTTATGTTTTAAGGGGTTATTTATTTTGGGGGGTAAAACTTACATACACCATAAACCGTCAGGAAGGGAGCCTAGTCGCAGGAGCCGGGAGCAGGAGCCGGAAGTTACTCCCACAACAGGAGTCCACAGGAATTGAAAAGAATCCTCAAGAACACCTGATGAGGTATTCCTCCAGCTCAGCTGTCCCTGATCAACCAAGCACAACCTGCCCCAGGGTTAGACACACTGGTTTAAGTGCCCAACACTTCTGGGCTTACTCATTCCAAGCCAGGGTTTAAAACAATTGCCAACATTGTCTCTCCAGGGACTGTGCTCCACCACAACTTCCCCAGGTCTAGGATGCAAATGCTATGGGTATATCTAGGGCTACTTCTTCCTCTTCCTTGGTAGAACAATGTATGTTCACAACCTTTATCATAACCATTTATCAGAGGGATAAATGTTTTCTCCTTGGGGACAAAAACTATGTCCCCAGATTCATTGGGTGGTAATGAGTACTCAGGCAACAGTGCCTTTCCTTAGCCTTACGTGCTGACTCGGTTAGACATTCAAGAGTAGGAGAGTCCCTTCACTCAGGGACTTCAAAGTCCAGCAAGAGGGTAAACCAGAAAGCAAGAGATTAGAACGCGACCTGACATGAGGCGTGTTTCAGCTCACTGGAATTAAGAAATATTTTCTAGAGCAGGTACTAGCTCAGGGGAAGCCTGAGAGAAGGGTAGGCATTAGATAAATAAAATCAAGATAAGTGACCCGTCGGTGAGAGCAGACACAGCTCGGCAGCTCAGCAGCCTCAGAGGACCATGCCACCTGAGTGGAGGACTAGAGGAATCAGAGAGGAGAGAAGCAAACAGGCCAGGTCAAAGTCGGAAGCTTGAGTTTAATCTTGAGGAGTAAAGGCGTTGATTACAACGCCAGGTTTTGTTTTGTTGTGGACTGAGGTCTTGGGACCCTTTATCCATTCCTCTACTCCCTGAGTCACACTGCTCACAATGCTCTCTTCTTCATCGTTACTAACACTTTGATTGGCTCTCTGGGGCAGGTAGCCAACCTCTTCTGTTGGGACTGCAAAGGGTAGCTCTCTGGCCCTGAAACTCCAGGGACAAGTGACTGGTGTTGGCTCCGTGGTTAATGCCTTTGCCTTACAAATGTGAGGACCACTACTCAGATCCCGACACCTACATTCACGTGGGGTGCCACTGTAATCCCAACACCCCCGTCATGTCCAGAAGAAAAAGAATTTCCTATGAACCTCCACCCTGTAACTCCAGCTCTGACATTCTGTCCGCCCCCTCTCCGCACTGTTTCCCGAACCTTAACTGCCAGTATCGATAGCATAGCAGAAACCAGAGGCCCCAAACCAGATCAACGACAGCGAACACTTGCAGGTAAAGAAGTGTGGGCTAAAAGCAAACAGGGTGACTATTGTGTCACACTACAGCTCCACGATGGGATTTTTCTTTTTCTTCTCTTTTTTTTCTTCTTAAATTTGATTTTATTTTTCAGGAGAGCTTCTAAGGGCAGAGGGTAGATACCAAGGGACAGGAAGAGGAACGGGATCAAGATGCATGATCTAAAAGTCACAAAGAATAAATAGAAAGCTTTTTAAAAGTTACTAGCCGTTCCAGGAACAGTACAAGCCAGTGTCGTACCAGTTGGCACCTTTTACCCGCCAGGCTGATAGTGTGGAACTCAGGGTCCACGGCCGAGCGGGGCTGATAGTGTGGAACTCAGGGTCCACGGCCGAGCGGGGCTGATAGTGTGGAA